ACTTTCCCGTCGCTTCCTAGTATCGTTGTTATGCAACGTTACGACGCTACTTCGGTACTGTTTCAATAGCCGAGGCTAGCAGAGCGGTCGTCCTCGTCTCATTGATACGCGCTCTCTGAGCGAGACCGAGCTCGCGTGGATTGTGTTTTATAGCCACCGGCGACGACGCGGTTACAAGCGACTTCGCGAATTCCGTGATATTGTCGTTTAAGTAGCGAGTATAGAGTTGTACCAGAGCCGCTTCTAAACTGGATATACCGTTCTCAAAAGAGATGATAGCATATTGTCGTGAAAATCATTGCATCCATTTTAGATCTTCCGAGCGTATCTAGAATTTCAGTCAGTAGGTGGTAAAAATTTATCTGATAAAATTAAAATACATATATTAAAGTCAGTCTTTAAGAATCTTCAGCATTTCTTACAAATAAAGCATGAGCCACACATTAGCCATATAAGCGTATAACATTTGTCATAAAAATGATTTTTGTAGTTTAATTATTTCCATTTGCCAAAATTTGGAGGAGGGGGAATAAGCTCCTCCCTGCGTACTTTCATGCCTGTCATCGCTATTGCGTAATACAGTGTAAGACTGTATCGGTAAATATATGTAATTACGTATCGCAATAAAAAAATTATTCTAAGAATATCTTAACTAGATTATACGGATTGGATGTCAATTTATGTTGAACATATGCTATAATATTTTAAATATCGCAATTACCGCACGCGAACGGCGCATTAGTTGGCGGTGAAAACTCGCGCGCGTTTAGCCGTTTAGATATCTCACCGATATCTCGCGAGAGCGGAAACATTCGAAAGTGCTCGCCGGTGACGATGAGCGATTCCGCGCTCTCTTCCTTCGGTGCTTCTTTTTTCTCATTGCGCGAGCGTTCCGCCTATTATCTACGCCGGAAGAGGAAATGATTTGCACGGACCACCCGGTACGTGACTTTTCTCCCTCGTCCGCGCGCGATTCGCGGCATTCCGATACTGAGCGGTGTGGCGCGGCGCGACTCCCTTGTGAATTTTTTTAATCCGCTTCGCCGGTCGCCGTGTCGCGCTGTTTTCTCCCCTCGGCATTGCGCCGCAGCGACGGCAGCGGCAGTGGCAACGTTCGGGTTCGTTTAAAATGCAAACTCGTTCGCGGTCCGCGGGGGCTTTAAAAACAGCCGCTATACCTATCCGGATTTTCGTTTGCCGTACCGCCGCAAACTTGGCCCCGCCGGGGTCTTACGCGCCTCATATAGGGATTTATGGCGGCGGTGACGCGTTTCTATTCTGGACCGTCTCGTCGTGTTGAGGAGAACATCTCCCTCTCGACGTGTTCTTTCTTACTACGGTGTAACGCTCGTACTTTGTACGTCTTCGCGATTTTCTTCTCGACGAATCGGTCGATTAAAAGGAGCAGATATTCAGACGACACGCATGTACAAAAACGAGACCTAAAACATTTTTAAAACGTCTTATGTCTCGATTTTAGACTTTTTGTTGTCTGAGTAGATACAATCGATCATAATTATTTCATTATCATTCAATTGACATATTTTTAAAATCATGAGTAAATATATCTTAACTCATTTTTTGATCAATTTTTTAAATTTCCTTTTTAGCTTACGTACATTTATAACTTTTATGTAGCTTGTGGTTTTGCTAGAATTACAAGCTGAACAATATAGATTTCAATATTAAATTACAGCGAATATAGTAACTCTCTTTTAAATCACTTCTGATAATTTTGTTATTAAAAAATGAATAGAAACTTTTCCTTGAAATTTTATGATTATTAAAAAATAATTTAAAAAATAATGTAAAAGATTTTCCTACAGTTGCTTTTTTATGTTCGAGAATAAATTTGTTGTCTTATTTTTCATCCAATAACATGTCACGCATTTTTTTCTGAAATTCTCGTTTGCTAGAGAAAAAAAATCACTTCCGTCAAGATTCGTTTTTCTTAAAAACTTCTTTCAAATCTTGTATATATGTGTCACGTTGTTATCTTTTTTCAATAATTGCTCTTTCAGGAAGATTTTAATCGTATCGCAGTTGATTAGCACTTCACGATCTTGAACACGACTTTTATAGTATCGCAAAAAAGATTCAGAATCGAATGGTCACATTTAGCGTTGAGCATTAGAAGTGAATGCGGATCTCACCGACGTATCTTTATCTCGAAAGAGACGCTGGCGAAAGTGAGATCGGGCTCTCGGCTTTCCTGGTAATTTGACAGAGCGATAAAGCCAGTTCTACCGCTCCTTTGACCGGACAGATGTTGATTCAACGGTCATTGATGCATTAAATGATCATCTAATCATTGATGTAGATGTTGTGAGTAAAGGTGAGGGTGAGATGCGCTTAATTAGCTTGACCGTGTAACGCGAAGCGACACTGAGGGCAGCTTGGATAAAGGGCTAAATTTATCCCCGATAGTTCTTTGAGCCCCTTTGGTTGGGCACTTATTGTATGCGTGCACGCACTTCCGCGTTTTAATTCTCTGACGCAGTACTCGGTGTCTATCGCATTTAAAAGTCCTATATATAATGATAATAAAAATCTAAAAGTATCTCTAAAAGCTACGATAAGACAATTATAATTATTGCAGGAAGTTCTTTTGTATTCCGAAGATATGAGAGGCTTAATAATTTCAGAATAGGCATTTCTAAGGTGATAAATCGTCACCGACGTGCTTTAACCCTTCGTGGTTACACCTCCTGAGAATTTTATGTTGGTCACACAGGGGGCAAAATGACCCTAACATATTTTAATTGATTGCCGTATTTACAGCTTTTGTTTTTTAAAATCACAAAAATTACTGAACATACTTTAAACATTGTAGAATACGGAAATGCAGTGGTTTTTTTATAGTTTTTAATTTTAGCATATTTAAATATTACCTCGGTAGTCTAAAGGCTTAGGACGCCCGTACGGAATACAAGAGATCCGAGTTCAACTTTCGGTCGAGGTAATATTTTTCGCAATATAAATTTATTTACAGTTTTTCAATAAACTTAAACAGTAAATTCATTGACATCTTCTCGATATGATGCCTGATTGAGTATCAAATTATTAAAAATTGCTTGTCAATTTAATTCGCGATATTACTACAATAGTTTAATTGCGTCCGGAAAAACAATTCGGCGCGCGCAGTTCGAATGACTACAAATAAGGTATGCAAGTACATATATAGTATATATAGTAATTCAGATTGAATTATTTAAGCATTAAAGATCTAGCTTTGACCATTACGGTCATTACTTATATTTCTTATTGTTGAATTTAACGTATTTAAAAAAAATCGCAAAGACACTGACATCCAAGAAACAATATGGGACCGAAGGCGCAGAAAGGGTATTTTGAACTTTGGATAAATGACAGTTTAAGTCCCATTTTAAAAAAAGACCTTAAAAATATAAAGCCTCATACCTTTTTGGGGTCCCCTCTATCCTCAATGACCACGAAGGGTTAAATAACAGAGGAATATAATTTCAAACAAAAGATGCGGTCAATTTAAAAGCTACTTTTTGTGGAATCTGTCTATATTTAGATCTGCCTTACGCACATTCCGCAATAAAAAGATCTCCATTCGACTCTCTGATTGACAAACTTTTGAATAAATGTTCGGATTTATATTCGTAAATGTATACTCAATACCGATTTTCTATTAATCTAATTACGTTCTGTATCTTTATCGAGACACAAAATTGAAGCAATTAAATAAAGCATTCCCACGACGATTGAAAATTGTTTGAATTCTGCATAAGTCCATTAATGCCGTGCTTCGAAGAGGGCAATTTGAAAGCGATAATTATTAATTCGAGCGAGGGTGATTTTTCCCCTCGAAAGATTGCGGCGGTTTGCGAATGTGATCGGATAGGCGTCGCTATTGTTATCCCGCTTGACCACAGCCACTTAAGCCCGTGCGCTAAACTCCACGAGTTCAACTTTACCCTTCAACAGGTGTTTAGGGAAATACAATAATGTCGCGCATGCGCGTCGAACTTCTTGAGGTCGCAAAGTTCGCTGGAACAATCTGACCGCGACCATGCCCGCGGGCGATGCCGGTACTTAGGACGAGATTAATTAAGATTACGCAGAACGCGCCGCGGTTCTCAACCCTGGTCCGGACAAAGACAAATTTCGCGCAGTTAATGAGGAATTCCGTTAATGCAGGCGAGATAGATAACGATGAAGTTTGATTAGGAGGTTGCATTGCAAGATAAAATCCAGCGTCTATACTTGTCTTAATCAGTCTGAGTGAAATTCTGATTCTAGTGAACGCATCTTTTTAAATATAAATGTATTATTAAATAGTTTTCCATAATATTGTGACGTATTTATTGATCTTACGTATAATAGAATAAGAACAAAATTATTGAAAAAAAGTTTTTCTTTGGAATCACAATTGACGGAAATCTATTCTTTTACGATATAGATAATGTAGGAAAACGTAGATAGCACATCATATTGGCTTAATACAATATATTTAATTTTGTTTTTTTCCAGATTTACTAAAACTTTATAGTTGCAATCACAAAAATTGTAATTATATGATTAGTAGTTTTTCTTTTAATTGATGTAGCAAAGAAGTCTATTTTACCGATAGCGAATAATAAGAAAGAGAAAACTGATTTACCAGTAGTCGATAAAGTAGACTGTTGAAGTCAACGTCGGTAATAGCTTGTGAACTAAACACGCTTACCAATTGGGAAAGTTGAAGGGAAGTTACCTTCTAGATAATAGGTGGCGTTTGAATATAATATAGTTCTTGAAAAGGTTTTAAAAAATATATTTATGTGTGTAAAACGTTTGATAAAATATCGAATCACTTAAATTATATATTCGCTTTGTCTAAAATTGTCAGATGACGGAGAACGCGAAAATATAAAATCATATCTTGCTATTTATTACTAATAACAAAGTAACATTTTATTGCATATTAAATTATTATAGTTACACATAACAATAAGTTAAATTTCTTATCATTTCGTGTATTCTGTTCACAGGCGTTAAATGGTGCCGAAGGTACAGTCCCACCTGGAAGAGTGTATAAAAAAGTCGCGATTGTGGAGAATTTCTTCGATATCATCCACGCCGTTCATGTTGATCTCGAAGGACGTCCTGGGAAACATGCTGGTCAGAAGCGCACCTACAGAACGGTAAGTTGTGGCTATGATTTAAAAAATTTCATATTTAAAAAAAAATTATATTAAAAAAATGTACGCACTTTGTCTTCTCAGTTTAGAAATTTAAAACGTCGCACGTAAATAAAAAAAGTACTATTTTATAATTAAAAACGTAAGTTGACGTCTCCAATTGTCGAGCCCCGCAACCGCTCATTGCGCGTAAACGATATCTCTCAGTATTGGAGTCTTTGGTATTAGACTCGTCACTAACCATCGAGTATCCGTCGATCCACGAAGCGATCGAATTCCGAATTCGGGCGCTATCGGCAAAACGCGGTGAATTCCTGCATGGTTGCCCGCGACACGCGATATTTACCGTTCCCGAAGGAAGGCATCGAGGCGTTCAAGCGTCGAACACTCGATACCACACGTCATCTCACATGTTCCGGCGCGCATTCGCGTAAACCTCTCTCTTGGGTATCATATCTGTTCTCTCGTTCTCTCTTCCTCTCTCTCTTTCTATCTCGCACCCTCAGCACACCGTCTCTTTCTACCCTTCATCGTCGGCCCCTGCGACCACCCTCCCACTCTTCGGCCTCCCATCCTCTCTCCTTTCTCTCTCTCTCTCTCTCTCTCTCTCTCTCTCTCGCATGCCGCGATCTGCTTGTGATTCAAAACCTCAGGACACTTGTTGCATTGCCTGCTTACTCACACACTCGAGCGTTTGCGCGACGGTGGAACTGTTTTACGTTCAAGTCGGCGTTAGGCGGCGGGATTCATCGGCTCCAGAGAGGAGAGCCCGCGTTATGTCACAGTGCCGCGTTGCGCAACGCGATACCACTACCGCCGTGTCAAGGATGGTGGATTTCGAGTTGATGCTGTTATATCGCAAGGGTTGCAGAATTGACCGATTCGGTACACGCAATTTACCTTTGACGACTCGCACCTTTAATGCGCGTCCGATCGATACGTTACGTGTTACAGTTTATAGCGCGCAATTTGCCGTTCGAAGTTAATCGGAAGTTCCCGTAATCGAGCGAGAATAACGCGCGAAACTTCCGCTAAGAGTTCTGTTGAAAGTCGTAAAGTTGCAACTACATTTAAGAATGATTCATTGATTTATATTTATTGTGAAATCTTTTAAATTCCGATTCAGAGAAGTATAGGAATAAAGGATAAATGAAAAAGTCTTTGTTAAATACGAAAAGCTAAATGTAGATTCTGTTTATTTAATGTATAATCTGTTTACTTAATATATAATCTGTTGTTTCATTATACTTAAACTCGCGGTCTCGCGTAAAGAAACACGATAGTGTCACTGCTCTTGGCTTAGCGCCGAGACACTACCGTGTCTCCTGAAATATATTACGCAATAGAAAATTTGATGTTTATTAGATATAAGTACTCGTGATTCCCTCAGCAATATCATATATTAAATATTATCATCGGGAAATATTCTAGTTATTTAATAATTTATTTCCGTTTTGCCGGTACTCTGATGCAACCCGTTATCCTTTCACAAGTCTGAACCGAATATTAATAACTGTGGACTAACAATCGATTAAAAATAGAATACATTAGTTCGAATTTTCACCTGAGAAACATCTTTTTTTTTTCGCTTTTTATTTTCTGAGTTCGTTGCGAGATTTCGGATAAATCTTATCGAATTACTACCTCTTCTTCCATGGAACTGGTGTAGTTATACGCACACGTATATATATCAGTCTCCGTCGGCTTTCTCGGCCTCTCACGGAGGCTGCCATCCACCTTGATTAAGTTATGCCGCCCTCCCCCCCTTCACTTTCTCAGAGAGAAACGTTTCCTATTAAGAGGCGGCGAACATCCTTCCGGCTGAACACCTCCTCTCGCAGAAGACATCAAAGTTCCGTTATACTACTCATGAATTTTCCCCAGTGGGCGTCACGCGTAAAACGACGCCACGTGACAGCGTTACTCGGAGAGCGGGAAGGGCCATTCGCGCGTGCATTAACGTGTCGATTGACAATGGTAGTTGCGCATTATTATTGCACGAACGTGCACTTGGGTACGGCGCCTCGACCGGATGGAATTGCTTAATTACCCGACCGAACGATATTTCTGCCTCAATATACGCCGTGGCGCAACGTTTGAGAAACGAAGATTTGGTCGATATACCCTATTTCGATAGTCGCTGTATCTCTGTCGCATTTTTAGTATAAAATCTGGATTAGAGCCTTATTCCTGTATTAGCACATACGATTATCCTAAAATACGCTGTATGAAATTATTTTCCTACACCAGGAAGACTATCGATTTTGTCTATCGAAATGATATTAGTAATATTATCTGGACATTTATTTTTATCTTGTTTGAAAGATAATCCCCATAATAAATTATAAAAACTTTTTACAATAAGGTTAAAGTAATAATAGTGCAGTACTAACCCTTCAGATATCATTCTTGATACGGCGCATGTTCAGTTTTTTAAAAAAATTATTTTTTTTTTTTCGAAATTTCTATGTATTTTATTGCTTATAACAGTTTTTACTTTATTGCTTGTAATCATTTTGCTGATAGAGATATATACATTAATTTATTTGATGTTGTATTCCTTAATATCTGGTGTTTTGTTGGTACAGAAAATTTGTTACAATATGTTCATTTTTATAAAAGTTACAAAGTTTGGTTGGGTATGCCAACATAGCATGTTGCGTCAGTAATAAAATGATATAATGTGGCATTAAAGATTTAAAATCTTATCAGTCGGCAAAAAAGTGGAGCAAAGATTTTTTCGAATATTTAAAATGTAGACAATAAGAATCTTATTTAAGACCGTATATGTGAGAACACAATCGAAAAACTAGAAATTAAATGCCTATAACTGTCGAAGCTGGATTTTTAATGCTTAAATAATTAAAATATAGAAGTTTTAAAGAGAGCGGTTTTCTTTCTCTCTTTGTTACAGATTACAGAGACGTATGCATCCCTGCCGCGAGAAGCAGTAACGCGATTTCTGCTAGGTTGTACGGAATGTCAGCGACGTCCGCGGACGCCCAGTCCAACAAACTTATCTAATCAGTCGCAGTCCACCCAGCCAGCGACACTGGGGACAACGTCAACCCCGCTGAGCCCGAATCCCGGTAACGCCGCTCTTGCGACCTCGTCGTCGTCGACGACGACATCTTCATCGGTGCAAAATAGCTCTAAGCCGCGTAACAGCGGCCAACATGCGTCATCGGAGGGCAAGAACTTGCACAACTACAGGCACCAAAAGCAGCACAAGACCGGCGCTGGTAGCGCCGCTGCAGACTCGAAACTCGACAAGGACAAAGATGAGAAGTACAATCCATTGAGTATTACGAACTTATTGAAGAAGGAGCCGGTAAACGGTGGTTATCTCGCGAATTCGGATGCTTTGCCGGAATCGAGGAGAACGCCGGAGTCGGATCGAGCGAGTTCGAAGAGCTCGGCATCGTCAAAGAGAAAACGGATGCTGCCGGAGGGACGGACACCCTCGCCGCAACCCAGCCAGCCGTTGCCGAGGCCATGGAGCCCCGGGCTGGACCCCAAGAACACGCCCATCGACTATAGCTGCTTACCTATCACCACCTCGTATTTGAAGCATCAGCAGAGACTGCTCCAGGAGAAGAACAAGGCAGCCGCTGCTAATACGCTGAGAGAGCCTGAAACGACGGAATCGAAGGCCGTCACGACACCGCTCGTCGAGGAGACCGAGAGCGCTGAGAGGGAGAGATTTTCACCGGCGACTGGTCTGATCGACACGAACCTCAATCTACTGGCGACCATCCAGCATCTGCACTGCCAAGTGATGTTGGCGCTCACCGAACGATTGAGACCGTCATTCGCGGTGCCGAGTCCTTCAATTCTACCACCGGCATCGACTAACGTTTTGGCGGGTACGATGATGATGGGCACGGAAGTTTCGGTTCAAACAGGAGAGAATCATTCGTGAATCAGTAACGGAAAGGAAGAGAATGCTCGATTTTTATAGTGACTTTCTTCACCTCTAGGAGGTGCGTAAAAGGCAATGTATTATGATTATCAAGAAAAACGATAGATTAGTATTTCCGTGAACAGAATTAATTCCCATCGATAATACTGCCTGAAAGTCTTGCATATATCGAGATTATATATTCGTTCTAGACAAGCGTTCGCGATAAAAAGATTAAGCCGATCAGACAACGGAAGTGTGCATTTAACAAAAAGACACGTGTTAAAATTCGACCGCCTTATTTGCGATTTTGTCACAGTCACGCGGTTACACGAGGCTCCGCATACAAAATGTCGATCGCGGTCACTCTTCATCTTTAATTCGTTCCTAAATACGGTATCCGTTTGATGTGCGCGATTGCGAATACAGCGATGGCTGCTCGCCATCCCGCTTTTGGTCGAGAAGCGAAACGACAGATAAACGCAATTACATATTGAACCGGACGGGATCGATTATTGTCGTCGGTGCTCGTGTCACATATTTCATCCGATCAGGCCGACCAGCCTGACGCTTGCTTGCGTTCGACGTCGCCCGATATAGACGACGGGCCAAGCGAGCAGAATAATTCCCCAAGTCTGTCGAAATACGGGTCGATGTGTCAGGGATTCGCGCTTTCTATGTCCGATATTTAGAAATCCGTTACGCGGAGAGCGGATCGCGATCCGTTCCAAATCGATCCATCCAGACGGGGCAAAAGCGACAGTCCGCGCGACGACACCGCGAAGGTCCTGAATATTCAACGAGCCAGCGAGATGGGGTGAGTCCGAGAGGAAAAGAGAGGGATAGAGAAGGAGATCCGATTTCTCGTTTTCGGGTGTCATCCGACGAATCCGACAACATTCAGCGTCGTTGTCGACCTGACGAATTGTCTTTCATCTTTTAAGCGCGACGATTCGCTCCGACTAATTATAACATGTACCAAAATGGTCAATTGATGCTTCAGATGAATGATGAATTTTTGTATTTTATCGTCTTCCCGTAGTGAGAATATCCCGGCGCTAATAATTTCTGTGTTATAAATCATAAAAACAGATTGCGCAAGTTAAGCTTTGGAGCGATAAATAAATAATGTAACATTACCTGTCGATACTGTTCAATCTTTCAGAGGACGAACTTTCTTTTAACAGAATTTTATTTAAGGCTCGTTGGAGGAAAAAAGAGAAAACTTTTCCGGGGGAACATGCTTGTCGAGTTTGAAGTAACTTGTTTCGTCTTTTTGTCTGTTTAAGCGATGTAATACCCTCTCAATCTCGGACAGTATGAATTAATATCGATTAATACGCGATCGAGTAACATCTCATTGACAAGGAAAGGGCCGGCTGCATCTAGTCGGCGTCTTATTCTATCTTTTAATCGTAATAATATCGCGCGTAATTACGCGCATTGGGGGGATATCCAAGGCGAGCCTGAATGCGCGACTCGTCTTGTAACGTTTCGCCGAACCGGTCGAGATCCGGTATTATAATATCTGCGAGCCGCAAACTTCTCTTATATTGTACTAATTGTCATGTTATTGCCATTATTAATGCAGCGACTTTTGAACAATACTGTGTCGCGACTGCCTGATTAGACATATTATTTCATATGAGAAATTGAATGTAATTTTAATTAAACATATTTTATATCTGTTTTAAATGAAAAAATGTGCGTTAGTATTATATGATACAATATAATCTCCTCTTTTATTTATTTCATTTTTAAAAAATCTTTTAATTTTGCTTCTAGAATAAAAATAGTTGAATTATATATGTTTTGGATTTATGTCTTTTTATTAAAATAATTAAAATGCATGTCAACACGATGTTAATTTAATACAATTGAGATTTACTTAAAAAAAAAAAAAGAAATACTTTGGTTGCTCGTGTCATTTATGAAAATTACTTGCAAGTGACTGGCTTAGACATACCTTCGTAAAATAACTTGTTCATTTAGCGATCGCCGAATCCGATACTGAATATATACCAAAGGCAGCATCACTTCGAGCTCTCGCTTTGAGAGCGACTCTCGTCTTCGTAGAGCAAACCGCAGGTAAGATGAATCGGTTGCAGTTAGAAATCGATTGTTTCTCCCATCGAGACCACGACGACAGTCCTCGGGCGGCGAAATCCGTTTCGTGTCCGATTGTGTACGTAGCCTAGCCTCCTCCCCACGTGTATGATATTACTCGAAGTAGCTCGTCTTTCGTGTATGATATATAGCGTCGTTAGCCGGTGAGGAAAAGTAGGTAAGGTACACCGGTAAAATAGGCCTTAAGGTGTGCTTGCAGACAAAAAGATGTTTATACTAGAAGTTCGATAATTATCGTGAAAGTAGACGAGGGTTAAGAACCCTTGAGAGTGTTATCGGACATATTATATTATACATATTATATTATATATACATACACATATATATGTGTATGTGTGTATATATATATATACACATATTATTTTGTACATAATCGTTGTATCATAGTGCGTATAGTCTATACCGAGCAAGAGCGCGTGATTATATTATTACAACGATCGTTCTTTTATCACGGTATTATGTATCGCTATCATTATTATTATTATTATTATAATCACACGGATGACTACTATTTTTAGTACCATTGCTCTTATCGCTCTCTCTTATTATTTTATTATAATTATTAATTATTATCACATGAGTATTATATTACTGTATTAATGTTATTATATTTAAATTGTGCGCGCAGAACAGACGGGAAAATATATGAAATTGAAATATTCAAAAATATTGCATATATAATTTATACCATATCCAAAAGAGGTGTATTCTTTCCTGTCTTCCCCCGATGTCTATTTTAATTTTCAAGTCCGCTTCCCGTTTCTATATTTTTCCTACAATACCTTTTAATTAACGTTCTCGTTCAAGATATAGTTTGGTTCTGAGAAAGCAATTGTAAGAATTAACGATTGTTTATTTCTGACATAGCATTTTGTCGTAACGCGTAATAGCGCCGTTGCAAGTAATCGCCAGATATTCCGGATATAATGAATATATTATACACAGGAACGACTGTGCGGAGTGCTCAACTACGTCTGTTCCATTGCGACTATCGCATTATGTGAATGTAAGTATCAAGTTTATATCCAATCAGCATTCCAAAATGCCCAAAAAACTTTGATCGATCGATGGACATGTGCAATACATCGAAGAGGGACGATCTTGCGCGCCCAATGAACGCAATTGACACCTCACCCCCTCCTCCCCCTTCCTTTTTCACTTCCTGCCTTGGTACTAGATAGAAGCAGTCGCTTCGGCGTCTGACGTACTTTAATATCGCGAACAAAGAGGACGAAATGATCGTGTTGCCTTTAACAAAGGAGAGGGAAGGCAGCGTCGACGACTCACCTGCTTTCTCTCTCTCTCTCTCTCTCTCTCTCTCTCTCTGTCTCTCACCGTGGTGCGAGGATCGTTTCTCGCAGAGGAGGCACCATAGGTAATGCAGTCTTTACTCATCCGGCTGTTGCCAACGTTGTAGCGACCTCGTTCCATCAACTTCTACGCGTTCCCCCTAGCTAGCTTTCCTTCGTTTCCTCTTTCCCTCCTCTCCTCTCGCTTTTTCTCTTTCTCTCTCTCGTTCGTTGTTTCTGTCTTTCCCTCTCAGCCCTCAGCCCTCAGGAAAACTCAACCCCTTACCCCCAGTTCCAATAAGGCTGCCGCCTCCACTTCGTTTCCACCTCCTGCTCTCCCTCTGCCACCCTGCTCTGCTTTTCACCCTCTGCTTCTCTCACGTGCTCTCCCTCCCCTCTTTCGACTGCGTCTCCCTTTCCTTCTCTCTCCTTCTCTCTCTCTCTCTCTCTGTTTCTCTCCATCTCTTTCTCTTTTGCGCACCCTCAAGCAACCCTCCGTCGTATCCTAAAGCCCCGCTTCCACAGAAGAGCCAAGCCTCTCTCGCGCTCTCTTCGCCACGGCATTGTTGCTATCGATTTGGACTTGGAAACGTGTTTTTCTTCGGATATTTCGTGGCCACCGCTGGTTACGACCACTGCCGCTCGACCGGATAACGAGGATTCTAGGAAGGCGGGTGTATGTCCAACCCTCGGTTCACCCTTTTTTTCGTCTTTTTCTACGTCTCTCTGAGTTTCCACATTACCACCTCCGCCGTTATATTTCCCGCGCTTAAGTGCAGCGCGCCTTTTGCGCCCGCAATAAATATTTGATTTTACGTGCGAATTTTGTGTATTCGTTCCTCTCTCGTTTTCATCCGTAGATTTTTGCTTTTCCCAAAGTCTGTTTACCTCATCTTTGCTACATTTGTGCATTCGCCGTATTTATATAAAAATTAATTTTGCAATCTCTCGATGGCGCACGATGCAGTTTCAAATTAAATTCATAACAAAATCAATACAAATAACCTTATAACTGCTTTTTAATCATTATAAATAATATACTATTTATGAAACATATACTATGATAGTATATGTACTATGATAACGAGCAATATGATTCGTTTATTCGATCAAAGAATGTTTCAAATTTCCCTCTTTTTCCCTTGTTAAATTTATTTTTCATATTGATATCTTTTTATTATATATAGTAAAATTATATATACAATATTTCCATTTGTGGGGGGAAACAACATATGTGGAAATACGACACTTAAATAATGATTGACTGATACACTTTCCGCGTTTTTGTTTTCTGTATATTTTGCGATTTGACTGCTTATAACTTAATTTACTTTTGCACTTTTTGCGAACAGCTTTTATATAATTTAAATTTAATGTTCCTTTAATTTTACTTTTTTTCTTAAAATTTCATGTACCTTTAATCGTGTTTTTTTCTTTCTCCAAATTTCTTTCTACTCTATTAATTTGTGCTGAAAAGGATCAAAAATATGATTGAAATGTCTGCGATACCTACGCAACACAATAATAATAATCATTAATACGCATTAGTAATCGTGTTTAGCTCTTGTTGATATTTTTTATTATTATCTGTTTGATTTATTATCACAATCTAATTTTACTTCAATTTATATTTACTTCAACATATATACACATACGTACATATACGAGTATATAAATAAAAATATTGTGAATGTTTTGAGTTGCAGTCATTTTTCTCCATCATGCTACAAATTGTTTTTACTATTTTATCGATTTTCGGTTATTTTACTCCCGACTCCGCTTTTATATCAAAGCAGTAGTCGTGATCTGACAATTCGATACCGATAAGTCGCCAGCGGAGTTTGACGCGATGAGAAACTCCCATTAGACTCGATGGCCGTAAGCTGCGTTCCCTCAGAGGTAGACTCGAACCACTTTCGTCGTCTTTGTTACGCCGAGATGTTCTCCGGCTTGGCTTCGATTGTTTCGCAAAGGCCATTGAGGAACCCGTGCCACTTTACGAAGCTGACGCGTCGCTGCAAATAGACAACCGGGACGCCCGGCGGCGAAATAAGGAAATCGCACGAGAGATTTCAACGAACGTTACGATATTAAGCTGCACGTGCTAATGTCGACTACATTTGCTTGTGATACTCTCGCAACTTTTTATCAAATGTCTGAACTTGTACTTAGAACAGTTTAAAGGTTTATACATACTGACATCTTTTTTTATTACACTTACAACAGAACTTAAGTAAGTAGTGCGTTTATAGCAAATATAAGAAAACACATGATACGCGTTTCTTATATTTATAATTTTAATTTCTAAGTATTGCATTTGTTGTAATATTATTTCAGTTAAAACAATATTGCACTTTTATAAGAAATAAGGATATGTATTTCATATTCATATTGTCTTTATTTGTAAATCACAGTTTTCAGTTACTCCAAGTAAAAGATTTTATATAGAGATGTGTACATATTACTTTTATACAAAATTTCGTGTTACTTTAGTTCATTGATTAAGAACAGGCCATAGTCAGCAGCTTCGGATTCAGATCGAGCGACGTAGAAGAACGTCGGAGATTTCAACGATCGGCCATACTTTGGCCGGTGTGCGTGTACATGCAATCCGCCAATGCATCGCGAAGAGTGCGCCATTGTCTCGCGATATATTCGTCGTTCATCGCGCTGCTATAATTCTCGTTTCCGATGGACCATCCGATTAAGGCGCATCCCCCGCGCAATCCCCCGTGACCAGCAGTGGCGATATTACTGGGGGCTTAACTCGATTGAACGGCGATTTAACATTTCACCCTCGCTGGCTTGCGCGACGTATGTGACGTCCATTGTCCTTTGGGGATTCCGATTAAAAGAGAGAGAAAGAGAGAAAAAAAAGGAAGGTTTACGTGGACGAATAGATGACGAATAATGATGACAATTGGAATTTTGTGATTTCGAATTGACTGAATGTAAGATAAGTGATGACTACATTATTGCATTAGTTCTTTCATATTTCATGCGATGAAACAATTAATCTTGATAATCTCAGTGATCATAATAAGACGAAAAAAATTTCTTTTTTGCTTTAATTTCTAAAAAAATTGTCTATTAGCATCGGAGACTCTGAATGAGACTCTTGGAGATATAATTATAAGAAATATTTTTTAATTCAATGCCAATAATTATGTAATGCGATTTATATTTTTAAAAATA